TGCTACAATTTTTGCCTTGTGTGATGATGCATTGTCATGATGCAACATCAAAGTTTTTACAGTTTTTTTGTTTGTCATTACCTTCCAATTTGAAAATACATCTGGCAAAATGATATTACTATAGTATTTAGCATTAACTGATTGTCCTTTTGGTACCACAATTCTAGTCACAATCCCTTCTGTTAAAAAAATGCAGAACATTCGTTTTTTGCTGTTTTGTGCTGTCCTTGTGATTTGTGTTCTGCTTTCACCTTTACTTATCCAAACTTTATTAGCCTCTTTGCTTGAAACTGTAAAGTAGTGAAACCAAGATTCATCACCAGTGACTATGTTATTAAAACCCTTCTCCAAAATTTCTAAAAGCTGTTCAGAAAGTTCAACTCTTTTTTCCTTATTTTCTTCAGTTAAGACATGTGGGACCCATTTTGCACATACTTTTGAAACTTCCAATTCATTATGCAAAATATAATGAATTCTCTCAGTAGAAATACCCATTAATTCCTCTAATGTTTTAATTGATATATGTGAGTCTTCAACAATAAGTTCTTCAATTTCTGCAACATTTTTTGGGGTGACAATTTCTTTTGGGCATCCAGAACGTGAATCATCTTTAATGTTTTCATCACCACTTTCAAATGATTCAATCCAGCGATAAATACTACAAATACTTAGTGCTTTAGGTCCTTCAGCAACCTGCAATTCCATATGAATTTGATTCGCATTCTTACCATTTTTCCAGCTTACAAAAATGTAGTAACGTTGATGTTCACGATTAAAATTTTCCATTTGTTTTTTTAGCAAATTTTTAAATGTCAATAGCTTTATAATTAATGAACAAAATTTAATAATTTTTTTTTTATTTAATAGACAAAAACGACTATTTTCATTTAAAAAAAATCTGTACAAAGTTACACATAAGATTGTCATTTTACAGGGCCTGTGACAAAACTTTTCAAATGCCCCACGTATTAAAGCAAAATAATTTTTTATATAATTCATAAAATACAGTGAGTGAAAAAAGTTTCGGAACAAAATGTGTGTTTCAAGCAAACACGATTTTCTTTTCAATTGATCAAGATCATAAAACCATAACTACTTTATGGGAAAATGGCATTCATGATGCCTGTACTTTGCATGAATTAACTTCTATTCCACTTTCTACAATATATTATTATACTAAAAAACTTAGTAATGGGATTTCTTTAGATCCTGGACAATGTTCTGAGAGACCCAGAAAAATTTCACCTAAACAATGTTGTCACTTCAGACAACTTGTTTTGAAGAATAAGTTTTCTGCATCCACTGAACTTGCAAATATTTTAAATAAATATCATTCTAATCTCAATATTAGTAGTTAGTTGTACAGTACTTAATGAGCTTCATAGATTGCAATATTGTTACATTGTCCCAAAATCTGTGCCTCTCCTTACCAACCAACACAAACAATGTCATATAGAATTTGCCATAAAATACAGAAGACAAAATTCGAACAAAGTCATTTTTTCAATGAAACTACATTACAAATGTTCAGAAGTAACCCAAAGTATTTTATAAACCCAGTAGTCAACCTCCACATAAGGTGATGATAAAACATCCATACAAAATTCATGCCTGGAGTGCCTTTCTGTAAAAGGCTCAATTTGTTTTTTTTCTTTTTACTATGGATGATTCTTATGCTTATAGATGGGTGTCTAAACTAAATTATTTAGACAATGCCTAAAATATAAATTAATTTAGACATTTAGATAATCATGGTCTCAATTGTCTAAAATGTTAAAATTGAATTTTTTATTGGATAATTTTACTGAACTTTGTGGATTTTGTGTATATATATGTGACTTTTAGTTGTATTCCAAGCAATTCATTACTATTTATATTAATTTGGACATTTAGACATTTTTGTCTAAATACTATTTGACTTTAGGCACCCATCTATACTTATACCGAAAGATTTTGACTGAAAATCTATTTGACAATGCAAACAAGGTCATGGGAAACTGTCGGATCTTGTTGATAAAGAGATGGAGATCTTTTATGTGATTATAGCATCCAGCAATTGGTTCATGAAACTACTTCATTGGACAATTTGCGGTCTCCAAAATTAAACATGTTGTGTAGTGTTTCAAAAAAAGCATTGGAAGATTGGAATTGGCTTCCAATCCTTCGATCTTCCAATGTAACTATTGATCCTTAATTTATCACGTGATTAATTTTTGATTGGACCATAATTTTGATGACGTATAAGCCTTCCAATCTTCCGATGCCCTTTGGAATTGGGAAGATTGGAAGTTCCAATGACTTCCAAGTCTTTTGATCAAATTTGTATGTTTACATAATACTATCCCATAACATGTGAAATATCACTGGTGAAAATATTAGACCTTGTTTGCTTAATAAAAAATGGGGAATCGTGCCCTGGATATTTTCTTTTAGTATTGGAATAAAAATTAATAGATTGATCTATACACCCTATTTTTATTATTACACGAAATAAAATTTTCTAAATTTGGATAATAATAAAATTTTTGGGGGGGTCAATTTTCCTTTTTATGTGTAACAGCTTTTTTCTTCGGAGGTTGTATAGTTATAGCTCCATTTCAACGTTAGCGAGTAAAAAGAAAATTTAAATCTGTGTTACATAAATATTGATCATAAACTTAGTAATATACCTGCTATATACCTGCTATGTAACAGGGTATATACTGAGATCTTAAAAACTTAGGCGGGAGACAGGATGAAGATTTGGTTTTTGAGTTGAAACTCGGAGATTAGTTATTTTCAAAAACACATGAATTCAAGTTCATAAAATCATAAACTATGATTCTATCTGGAAAATCCAACAACCTTATCATCTGAAAATACATCTAATATAGATTCTCGTACCACATCAATTGATAATAATAATAATTGTTCTTTGATATGCATAGTATATAATCTGTTTATCTGCTTGAAAAAATTCTGTATGTCACAGTCCTTATTGATTCGCATCATTAATAAAATGCTAAATGTTCCCATCAAATTGATTCGTACAATTATAAAAAGGCAAGATTCGGATTGATATGTTGATAACATAATGATAATAAAGGAATGTCCCTCACGTGACTCAGATTTTATTTTTGAAAAAAAAAAGATTCTGCTATTTTATGTCAGAATATTCCCAAACTTTTTAAGATTTTGTGGCGGGAACCTCCCTACATATAAAAGTAAAATACTTTATAAAAAAGCCTTTTTGACACACTGGTTCATATCATGTATTACCAAGTTACAAATTGCTAAATGGTAATTGCTTTAAGTGTAACAGTTGGGTTTGGAAAATTTTTACGCCAAAATTCTTTTATCTCACGACTAACAAGTTAATAAGAAATAACTCGTGTAACAAATACTAAATAATTCCGTGTTCTACAATAATTCAGCGATCTCGACAAGGAATCTTATTATTATATAAATAAAGTAACATTAAAAGAAGTGTCGACTAATTTCTATTTCTTTTAATATTTTTATTAGTGAGCGTTTTGATTTTTGATTTTGATTTATTTTTGGTTCTATCCTATTAATTATTTCATCAATTTATATGTCTCTTATTGAGTTTTGTAATAAAGTAATAGGTCAAGGATAAATCAACAACTTGCGAAAAGGTCCACTGTTGGAAGTAAGCATTTTATTAAATTGAAAATATTGTTATTATTTATTATTATTATTATGGTTAAATTACCCTGAAACCTTTGTAGTACAAAAGTTCGCCTGTTTGTTACACGCCATTCAATGCACATTTAATTTAAAATTCGTAAAGAAGTGCATAATAATGTTCTGATAAAGAAAGCAGAAAAGATTATTATTTTTCATTAGTTAAAAGAAATAAAAAACTTAATTAAATAATGTAACCTATAAATTGGCAATCCAAAAAAATTTAACAAGTGTAAATCAACAAAATACTTTGATGGATTTTGTGAAGGTTATTACTTTACAACCACAGAGTCTTTTTACCACTTGGACATCTGGAATTAACATAATCAATGATCTTGTTTAACAATGTCAAATGAAAATCATCTTTGCCAACTTATATTTTAGAATGGATACCTTATCATGATTTTGAAAAAGTAACAAAATTAAACCGAAGGAAGGTAAATTTATCCGCTACATGAAGAGGTTATATAATTGATTACAATGAAAATAAACAAGAGTTGATTATTTTGATGCTCAAATTGTGATATTAAAATATTTAAACAATGCAATCCAGAGAACATTTTTTGATGAGGTTGGTAACTCAAAAAGAAATAACAATGTATTATATAATGTTAATTGATTTTATTTTATTTAGTAGTCTCATTGATCATATTAAATATTTCTTATAATATAATTCTTTTACGTGTGTGCGTGATTTTTAATTTGTATCATAATTCTTTATTCTTTACATTAAACGTAGGCAGCCTACGATAAAATGACTTGGATATAAGCCCCAACATCGCGAGTGACTCTTGTTATGTTTCCGTAGTATACCTTTAAAGTATATTTTACAGGCTCTACCACATAACTCTAAAGGTATTTGAAGGATTGAGATTTTGTTTGATGCATCCAACACGTTTTATTAGTGTATTCCTCAGCCTGCACCAAGGGTGCTCGCGAGATTTATGGAATGTGACCAGGTTAACATTTTCTTGCAGCCTTGGAATATATTTTTCTAAAACTACCATCGTTTCTGACCATGTCATGTATTTTAACCTCGGGGAGCAAAATTACATGATAACAATTTTACACAAGATTACGAATTTTCTTGTATGGGTCGATGAAGACTACATCTTATTATTATACGCACATTTCATATTTGTTTTACCATGAATAGAACCTCTTATGCAAGCATAAATGATATAATCTACTTAAACCTCGGCACTTTGGTTATATCCGGTCATGAAAATTCACACTCTTGGATCAAAAGGAATGATGCCAGCGCTTTATTCTCTTCGACCACTGAAAATTTAGGACCTTGGTTATCATCAACCTTAATTTCAAAGGCTTATGAATACATGAGTAGAATTTATCAAGATGATTCATGGTGGCGAAACGACAGTCATATTTTAATTCAGGTATTTTTTACTTGATTAATACTTTTGAGGAATGAATAATGACGACTTTCTCTTCCCAATCTGTTTAATTTCTCTCTTGAAGTTTTTTTTTTTGCGGCTGCTTCTCTAACACTATAAGGAGTGTCAAGAACCATTTGATATCAAGGCCTTTAAATTTTTTTTTATTGATAAAACATTCATTGCATGTCTAGCGAGCATTACATTTTAATAAGGTTTGGATTTACTCAGAAATAGGGTAAAGTATAATTTTTAAGAGCTTTCTCAAGTGGAAGATGAAACTACATCTTCTAAAACTCTTCTATATGCCATGTGGTAAAGGGGAATATGATTTAAATCATGATTTACTGGTGATCAACACCAGTTTTCTTAGAATGGCTTAAGAGGTTGATTGTAACGATGAGTCCCCACACAGTCAGTCAACTGAGGAAGATTTTGCATATAATTTTTAAAATTCTTTAATGGATTTCTTTGTAATTAATAAAAAGTAAAATCAAGTGAATTTGTTTTTTCGTCGAAATAATTTTGACTTTTTGATTACTTTGGTAAAGATTTACTTGCATTTTTAATATTTTTAAATGCGATTTTTCACATACAATCAACATATTTTTCTTTGATGTCGCGAAAATCAAAAAGTGAAAAACAAATAATGCAAGAAATCGATGCAATAAAAGTGATTTTTGATTCTTGAAAACCATATTTAAAGAACAAACAACAAAAATGGATACTGAATTTAATTTTTCTTTTTAAGTTTCTACAAATTTCTTTAAATAAAAGATATGCTGCAAATGCTACGTAAAAGTGCCAAGGTTGCTACATTATTATGATCGAAACTTCCAATTTTAATGTTAAGGTTGTATTTGTCTAAATTATATGCACCTGGAACAGAAAAAATTGTGTAGATCAATGCTTTGTATACGTTTTTCTTATCAATTGCGCAACGGAATTACTGTCAATCTTATACTAATACTAGTACATTGCCTTACCACACGAATTTTCAGGCCTATAAAAAGAAATCAGAAATTTTTAATTAATTTTGAGAATTATTATTATTTGTTACACGAGACATTATATATTTTTATTATGTAGGCTTTTTTTTAATTAATATATAAACAATAGATTTTTTTCTGTCCCACCAGTAATATCTTTTTATATGAATAATTATTTTATTTTTATTTTTATTTACAACTAACCTCACTCACTCACTTTCTTTCTTCTTTGCTAAATGAAAAATAAAATAAAATAATCGTATAAAGCAAATAAATTAACTATTAAAAGAGCCAGCAATAAAAACCAAAAAAGCTTTAATCTCAAAGAATAATAAGAATAACAATAATAGTATATTATAATAGTATAACAGTAAATATTATACATAATAGTTGTAATTGTATAAACTGCATATCAATACACACTCTCTTGAAAAATACATTTAAACAAAACTATTTAACGAAACTTTTAAACAAAACTATCGCAGATTATCTGTAGAAGTAACAACGTTTGCAAGAAACGCGCGAGTTGTAATAATAATAATAACAATATGTCGTTGATTAAAAAAATTAAATCTCAGTATGAAATATGGAAGATTAACAAATACACGATTCGTAGAAATTCTATGACACCGGAATTCGAACAAAAAAATCCCAATTTTTACAAACAAAACTACGTTAACGGAGTTTATCTACACACGGACAGACACAAATCCAGTTCTTCATCTTCATCTTCATCTTCGTCGTCTCAATCATCTCATAATAGTTATATAAAAAATATTTCTACGAGCAAAAGAAATAGCAGAGGTCGTAAAATTATTAGATGTAGCGAAACTTATAACATGAACTAAATTAATTAAAAATTTGAGGCATTTCGTATTATTATTTAGGGAATTAATTGGTTGATTTTGTTTATTTTGTAAATTTAAAAAATGATTTTTATTATTATTATTATATTATTATTATTATTTATTTATTATTCATTATTATTTTATATCATCCATTAATTACTATCAAACAATTATATATAAAATCACATGAATTTAGATGTTTATTATCATTTATTTGTCTCTTTGAATCATTCATTCCTTACTTGATTTTTATTTTATTTTTCTTCATTTTTTTTTTCTCTAATTTTTTTTTTTTCAAAAAAAAAAATAACGATAAACTCAGTTTAAAAGATTCAACTGACGACGACCATTAAAACATTATTAATATTAGTAATAAAAAAAATGTCACACAAATGTTTTTGTAAAACCCCATTTTCATTTAATATATACATGTGTCAAACAACAATAAAAAAACAAATTCAGTTTAAAACAGCCTAACTATAATTTTTTTTTGGGTAAGAGTGATGTAAATCTCTCCCTAATATTCATTATAAATTCAAATTTATTCAAGTATTTTCTTTTTTTCTTTTTTTCTTTTTTTCCTTCACAAACACAATTAAAACATTCTTTTTAATATTAAAAATGGCACAAGTCATTAAAAGAAAAGCTAAAGAGATAGACCGTGGGGCCAATTTAAATAATGATAATGATAATATAAATATTAACGATATTAATAATGATAATGACAATTCAAAAGTTGTTTCTTCAAATAATGACACTTCTAATTCAGATGAACTCACTACAAATAAAAGGTCAAAAATAAGTAGTAGCGGTAGTAGTAACGAGAACGTTGGTACAACTCCAGTAAAAAATAAAAAATATATATCATCATCATTAGTAATAGAGAAAATTCCAAGTAAAAAAGATGACGAAGAAATTTTAAATGCTCTACGTAAAAAATATCCGTTCAAAATCAACTCACCGCAAAAAGGAAAGCCGATCCGAATTTATTCGGATGGAATATTTGATTTATTCCATCTAGGTCATGCAGAGGCCCTCAAAAAAGCCAAAACTTATTTTTCGGACGTTTACCTATTGGTCGGCGGTAAGTTAATTTAAAATAGGGGAAGAAAATATCAGAAATAGAGAAATTTTAAATAAATGTTTTGACTTGAATAATAGTATGCAACGATCACGACACCCACCAAAAAAAGGGGAAGACGGTCATGAACGAGGAGGAGCGTGCACAATCATTGATACATTGCCGGTGGGTTGATGAGGTTATTGTTAATGCACCATGGGTTGTTACCCAAGAATTTATCGACCAGTACGACGTAAATATCTTTATCTTATTCTCTTTTTCATCATTTCTCTTAAATATTTTATTAATACATTATAATTTATTACCATTATTGTTACTATTGTTATTTTATTTAGATTCATTATGTCGCACATGACGCAGAGCCATACCCATCAGGAGACTGTGATGACATTTATGGATTTATAAAGAGCCAAGGAAAATTTTTGCCGGTAACCCGCACAGAAGGTATCTCCACGTCGGACTTGATAACGAGAATTATCAAGGATTACGATGAGTTCCTCGAAAGAAACCTGGAAAGAGGCATTTCTCCTAGGGATCTAGGTTTAGGATATTTGAGGGTAAATGAAAATTACTGATAATCATAACTTTGATTATAATAAAACGAACAATGTCACCAAGTATAATGCTATTATAATACTAATTATAGGAAAAGGAATATCTTATGAAAAAGTCCATTTCAAAAGTAACTTCAAATATACATCAGAATTGGCATGGGACCAAGGAAGAATTAAAAAATGATCTGGCTGAATTGAAAAACGATCTGGCACAGGTCTTTGCTTCGATGTTCAATGGCGAGGGTGTTATTGTAAGTTACTCGTTATATATCATCTGTTCTTTAAAATTTTATTTATTTATTTATTTATTTATTTAACACAAATAATAATTTATTTGTTTGTATCTTTTAACAGGATAAATTCCTTCGTCTTCGTAAGCCTCGTAGAACATTGAGCAATGGATCAGGAACAAATACCGAGGAAGATGAGCCAATGGCTAATAGAAATGATCATAGTGCCTCGGATGAAGATAACCAAGATAATAATACAAGAAGAAGTGCTTCACCAGTCAGAAGGGTTATTGATTATATTACCGGGGAATCACAATATGATGCATAATCATGTTATGGCTTTTTTATTTTTATTTTACACATCTATTTTTTCATTATTTTATTTTTTATTTTTTATTTTTATTTTAATCATTAATTGCTTATCATTATTAATTAAATTAATTAAATTAAAATTATTAATATTTAAAAAAAATTATTTATATTAATATAATATTTTTTAGTACAGAATAAAAAAAAAAAATTGTATATATATGTCTAATTTTGAAAAAGAGGGAAATAATAAATTAATACGCAAATTGGTTAGATTGATATCCATAAACGTATTCATCATCGTCTTCTTCTCCATAATAATTATAATAATCATCATCGGATGATGATGTCACATATTCTCTTTTAAGATTATTAAAGCCAAATTCTTCATTTGTTGGTAACCTTGAAGACAAATGCGAAGAAGAAGAAGACAGGAGTGAAGCATCAACTCCATCATCATCATCATCATCATCATCGTTGTCGCCATCATCAATATCATCATAAATGGTATCAATGTTTTGTGTTTCCATTAACGCGTTACCATCACCATAATCACCATCGCCATCTTTATTAACTGATGGAGATGGATTTAATAAATTCAATAAAGTTTCAGAAAGCCAACCTAATATTCCTCCAACAGAAAATCCAAGCAATGCACCCATGCTGCAAAACAATATCAATGGATAAAGTGTTGACAGAATCCATTTAACTATAGAGTATGGTATATAGATAAATATATTGTATAATAACTGAAACGTATATATTACTGGAGTTAAACAGAAATAAATAATCTGATAAATAAAATTTATGATTTCAAATATTTCATTGAATATAAAAATAAGTAATGATATTATAAAATTATAATTATTTTCATTTTTATTTCCTTGCTCTAAGGAAGTTGAACCACATTTTCTCTCATTGTTAACTGTTTGTATTTTGTAGGGTGGAGAAGAAATTAATTCACCGGAACTTCCTGAGGTGAATAATGCCAATAAAATATAAAGTATTACAAGTAAAAAGAATAATGAAAAATAATTTATCGAAAAAGAATTTTTTGGATTCCTTTTATTATATTTTAATTTATACATTTTTCAATTCCATTCATATATGTGGCAGACATATTGATGTATTGCAGCATGTTCGCATGTTCATATATTAATATCAGATATGTATATATTAATATGTTTTTTTATTTACTTTTTCCAAGTTTAATTTGGTCGCACAAAATTTCTTTCCTTAAAATAATAATAATAATATAAAAAAAAATAAATAATATTATTATTATTTTTGATTTCTTTAAAAAAAAAACCCCACCCAAAAGCTTGATCTTTAAAGAAGAAGGTCAGTGACATCTTTAACAGATGCGAGGCTTAAGTTTAGACGCTGATGATTTGGAGAATTCACAAGTTCTTCAATTACAACAACGAATTATAGAAGGTTAATAATAATTAACTAATAAAAATTTAATTGTTTTTTAAAAAGAAAAAAAGGGAATTCATATTGATTATATTGTATATAAATATGTGTGTTTACAAAAGATCAAGATGAAGATTTAGATAGATTAGGTGCAGCGATCGGGCGTCAAAGAGAAATAGGATTAATGATTGGAGAAGAGTTAGAATATCATGTTTCATTATTGGAAGAAACTGATGTTCATATTGATAGTGTTGATGGAAAGTTAAATAATGCAAAAAAAAGCCTTTCAAAAATATCAAAAAAAGTTAAAGATAAAAGTAAGTATTTTTTCTTTTTTTTTTTTTCCAAATTGAATTCATAAATTATATAATTGGAGTTATTAACCTATAATTTATTATTATTATTATTATTATTATTACCATTATTTTTATTTATTGGGGGAATAGAAACAATGTGTTTAATGTTTACTATAGTAATATTATTTGTTATATTAATTGCTCTTATTTTCAAATAGATTTTTTATTTTTTTATTTCTTAGTTTGTAATTTATTATATTATATTAGAGAAATATCAATATTAATAATTTAAAATTGATTATCATGAATATTAATTTAAGATATCTCATCATTATAATTATAATTATCATTATCATCATAATCATCATCATCATCATCATGATTATTATAACATTATCATCATCTAAATGGCTCCAACAGAATATCTCTACACAAAATATTTCTTTCCTTTGATAAATTCCCCAATTTCTTTTCTTTTATTCACACAACAAAAGATGAAAATATTCTACAAGTATTATATTAATATTAATTGATAATTCACATACTTACATGAAGATTCAAGGAGTTCTTCATTCGTCCAGGTAAAACTATTGGTCTAAATTAGATTGGCTTTTTGGATAATCCTTATCTTTCGTCAACGTAATTTTTTTTGGTGAAATTTTTTCTTGATAATTTTTACACCTATAAGCTTATATATTCCTTCATCATCAATCATCAACAATCAATCGTCAATCGTCAATTCATTATCCAATACACTATTCGTTATCCTACGCATCAATTCGTAACAAAATATTGCTCAATTACTAATGATGTGAGCACTAGGACATCCATTCGCGCATCAACGAGGAATAAAAGAAAATCTATTCCCATTTTTATATGTGCCTTATATATTTATATATTTATTGTTAAATTTCTTAAACCCTTGATCAGTTTTCGCATCTAAAGGTTTTTGGTCATGTTGTATGTGAAAATATAGTCTGTGAATTCGAGATTCAGAAACTCAAACCATAAGCATAGAACCCAAAATTTATCCACCAATAATCTAACATCCATGTTATAAATGATATATTTTTTCAATATCAGCGTATAATTTTGACAAATCGTAGTCATTATCAATTGTTCTCTCATCATAATCAACAAGACTGTGTTAACGTGAGATAAAAGTTCCTATAGCCTCTTTAAATTTATTTTGTTGTCATATAATATCCTTAAAAATAATTAGATCAATGCCTGCTTTTGCTTTGTCTAATTGTTGTTTAATATAATCACGCATCCACTTTTAACCGAATCATCAAGCCATATGGCTCATGTAAGTTTTTGCTATAATAACACACATATATACACAACTCCAAATTTTATCAAGTAAAATAGTACAATTTCTAAGCTAAAAATGTTCTTCGCAATAAGATACTTAATAATAACTTTTATTTTAAAGTCTTTATAGACTTTGATTTTGAAGGCAGTTTAAAACCAATTTAGTATTAATGTCAGTCTAACACTGGCGACAAAAACTTTGTAATATTAATTAATATATTATTATTGATTATTTAGGAATGGAATAACAAACACTCATAGTTGATTTTACATGCGTGATTAATTGAAGAATAGAGTTTTAAATAAAAGTTAATTTGTGATCTAATCAAGTAAATTATCAATGAATCAATAAAATCAATTAAAAATAAATAAATATTTCATTTCCTTGATATTGAGAATCAATTACACAAAATTTTTTTCTTTTTAACAAGCGCCATCGCTTTCGTTTGAAAATCACACACAAGAAAATAATGGATCAAGTTACAAGATGCTTATTCCAAGTATCTTCAAAATTTATAACGAAGAAATTAAAAAACATATAAAGTAGGGCAATAATATTATTATTCTCAACACAACATTAATCATAATAATTATAATAATATTGAATATTGAAAATACAACTATCGTGAGGAAAATACATTTCAATATTATCCATTTAATATACTATTGACATATCTGTAAACATTGGATTATTCAATTGCATAACGATGCGAAAAAATTTCATTGTTGCATTCTCTGATGATGCTATCCTCGAGATACTATAAGCAAGGTCTTGTAGTAAGACATTTCACAAATAATAAATCTTTACAGCATACTTCCACTGAATCAAGCTTGTTTTTATGGCATTATTATATTCCACAGATGAGAAGATCCCGCTGGCAATCCCGGATGATTTCAGTTGAAAGGAAGAGAGATTAGCATATACTTTCGGTGATACGCAAAGGTAGAATAATATAAGGAAGAAGTAAGAAAAATTGTGCTTTTGCGCATTACCAAGTGAAGATAACAATTCGGCACTTTGTGCCTCATCTTAGTATTGAAGTCAATAGCGTTACCAAAGTCCATCATTATGGACGTCAATAACGATCACTAAAAGTACGACGCAAATTCAAAATCGTCGTACCTAAAGCACAACGCAAATGTGAATTCTTCAATGAACCCAGAATGGCCTCGAATGAAAAAACAATCACGAATTCTTCAAGCCTAAAAGTACGACGCAAATGCAAACTCGTCGTGCCTCAAAATACGACGAAAATATGAACCAATCGTACGATAAGTAGGTGACAGTATAGTGCAAAGTAACGAGATATATATATTGTTACCTACTTTGCACTATACTATTACCTACTGGCGCTGAAGCCTGAGAGTTCGCATGTAATCTGACGACGAAAACTCGCCGCTGTAATCATGAGGAGATTTATAGTCTAGTATATTTATAGTTGGTCAGACTATAAATATGCCACTCTGTCCAAATTTTTCAGTCAAATTAAAGAGGCGTTTTTTTTCTTTCCTGTTAACTATTTTTGGTTTTCTCTTGGAATTTGCAATTGGTAAAACGAACATTAGAAAGTATAAAAAAAAAAATCTATTGAATTTTTTGATGGTTTTTTTTTGGAAAAATTTTTTTATAATAGTAATAACACCTTCTACTCTACCAACAAACATCTTCTATTATAAATCAAAATTTTAACATAAGTAATTATCTTTTTTTATCTTTTAAATTATTATTTTGTGCAAATTTATTTACCTTATTCTCTAAATAATATTACCGAAAGAGAGATTCATTGACAAGTTTTAATAATTATTTCTACCATTACACATTGAGTATATAACCTTCGGATAACGATAATGATGGTATAAATAATCAAATTATTATGATGGATGTATACCTTTATTTGTTATATTTTAATCTCTTAAAAATATTTTTTGTGGAAAAAGGTTTTAGTCTGAAAAGGTTAATTAGCAACAATAATAATACCTTTTTTAGGGTATGGTGATGGATTCTGCATTTCTCAATCAAAGTGCACTTTCGATAGGTTCACTGTTTAGAGATAACCCCACGTTCAAGTTCTGGACTTACAATATTAAGGGCTGGTTGGTATCTTTAATTGTAGGAACTTGATTTTTTTTTTTTTTGAAGCAATATGTTCTATTACAAAATTAAAATAAACTGTATTCAGAGCGTTATTACCGGCAAAGGTATCTCCAATTAAAATTTAGAACATAAATTGCACAACAATAAAAATATTCTCAATAATATAAAGTATCTAGCAATTGGGAAATAAAGGATCATTTATTAGAGAGAGAGAGAGAGAGAAAATTTATGTAAAAAATCATTTATCTTCTAAAGTAAAAATTTTAGGTATTTGAACATTGATTTCTATATTAACCATTTTAAGTTACTGATTTATAATTATAGTGAACTTGATTTGCTCCCCCAGATTCAATATTTTTATAATTGACTGTCGCTTGTTAAAGTAGAAAAAACTACACATGAAACCGATTAGTGTCCTCGAGCTCTGATTGTAATCGCAATAAATAAAATATTAACAATAATGGCATAAAATTCGTTTTAATTATCTTCAGTGCATATCGTAAATGACAAACCATGTGTAAAAAAGTAGAAGGATCGCGCGCAATATTTTCATAAATATTTTCGTACTTTTGAAAATAAAATGGTTAATCCTATTGTCAATTTATTTTTAATAATGGCAATAAATGCAACTGTGGACATACAAATGGTCCATAATTTCAATTACTCTGATGCCGGCCAGTTGAATGCGTTTTCGTCAATTAAAATAGAATTACTTGATTATACTCGTTCACATCAATATGGAGAACGACAAAAGTGTTAAAATTATACATGCATCTTCAAGTATTACATGTGTCCTTAATAATTATTATTTTTGACTTGAATTTTGACATCAGAAAAACAATTTGGGCTACATGTATAATAAATACTCAAAGTATTTTGGAAATGTTCAATCACTTGGTTTTTGTATTTGGAAACTATTTTTTAAATTTACAATTTTTTTAAAAAATATAATATCATTTTAAAACGATGCATAGCATTGAAAATTTACAATGACTTGCACCAAAATTTTTTTTTAATACTTTTTAATTTATCGAAATTAGCAGTAGGAATTAATATTAATATTAATATTAAATTAGTATTGGTATTAGTATTAGCGTTGGTGTATACATATTTGGGTTGCTTTTTGAATTAAACCATTTAGGTTACTTAAAATTAAAAAAAAATTTCATCACAACTACGTAAGTTTACATATAATTAATTATAATTATTATAATTAATAATCAATTTTTGTTTTTCAAATAAATTTTTTTTTCGATAATTAATTTTTATTTTGTTGATAAATTTTATATGTCAACAAATAAAATAAATAAAATAAAATATATCAAATTAACTAATCGTAAAAAATGGCATCAGGTCCAATTGGTGGCGGGTTTGCCCAAACTAGACAACCATTAAGAAGATTATTAATTGACCCTGAAACTGGTGGATTACTAGGAATACTTTTAGGAATGTTTGGTATAGCGGGTTATATGGCAGGACATAAAGTAGCTTATACTAATGAAGAAAAGAATGTAAAGTTAACAAAAGAAGCACCTTTTCCATGGCATGATAAATCTTCTTCTGACGATGGAGATGACGATAAAAATTATAAGTATAGATTTCATAAACTCGATTCTGGTCGACAAATACTTCAAGCACCAAATGCAATTAATACAACTAAAGTTCGAGTGAGCATGCCAAAAGAAATGGCGGAAAAAATTTCACCAAAGTTCTTTGAAGAAAATTAAGAAAAGATATAATCTTGATTATAAATTGTTGATGATAATTCGTTATGATTCAATTGTAAATGTATTTTTATAATCAACAATTCTTTAATTAAATTGTACAACAATTTAACAATTTACAAATAAATAAATATGTAAATTTATTATGAGAAAAATATTATCTAATAATTCATTTACTTCAAGCCGCATAACATCATGTGTAATATTTGAGAAAATGGGAGTAAAAAATAAATATTAATGTTTTTTCGCTTAAAGGCTCCGGACTGGATTTTAGTTTTTATTCAGTCTTCATAATATTAACTATGGGGCGTACTGTAGAAACAAATTGTTTCACATCATAAAATTGACTTTACAAAATATCGTCAATAAACCAAAATCGAAGGAAACAAAACCAATAACAATGCTTTGCTTACTTAAGAAAAATTTCCTTGGTTGAACAGTATCAGCATTAATTCAATCTCGACAAGAAAGTAAAAGGTCCGATAATTTTCCATTTCGTAGGTAGAAGTAGTAGCAATAAGAATAAACTTTGATAAACCAATCTCCTTATTAAATAATTTTAGTATTTTGTTGCCTCCAAGATTGGTTTTTGCAAATCCTTTAAGGAAATTCTTTATTGAAGACTTTGTGATTGCGTTTATATTTACTCATTTACCTATTTCTTTATTTCGCTCTATTTCTCGATTGAATTTTTTGAATAAACATATGAGAGATCTTTGACTTTATCCTTGCTTTACTACATTGCTACAGTCAACCCCCTCTAAGTGAACGCTTTCATTCATTCCCCAAGCTCGGGAATTAGAGATAAGTGCACACCCCCTTCCCCCTGCACCGCACGGCTTTTTCCATTCCCATCTATATATAAAACTCCCTCTCTAAAGTGCACTCCCGTGACTTTCACGTGATTGTCGTCCAATAAAAATTGAGCGACGTTATTAAATTAAAATTAAAGAATTGATTTTTTGTAAGAGATGATAAAGAATTAAATTTTATACTTAGTAAATGATAATAAAGAATATAAAGAATTAAATTTATTATTAGTAAAAGGTAAAGAATTAAATTTATTGGTATGACAGAATTATTTTGTAAGAGGTGGATAAAGAATTGTTCATTTTTTATTAAGTGACAGGGAAATAAAGAATTCTTTCTTTTTAATAGATACAAAGGTCATTAAAACAAAAGTACAAGAATGCAGACAAAGAAGCTTATTTAGTTGAAATTATTATAAATAAGTCATGAATCAAGAATCTTATTTAATAACTAAACTCTTGTAACCAACTTTAAAAATAAAACTTCTATTATAAATTAACCTTATCATTAATAAATTAAAAATAATATATATTCTTACATACACAACCATCTAATTTTTGCACTCACTCATCTCATTAAATATTTTATTCTTTTATTGCTTCTAAATAAAATGCTTCCAAAAAGAGTAACTTTATCTAATTCTCAAAAATATGAATTTTGTTTATTCTAGTCAACAAATAAAACTGGTTAATTCTCTTGATAGATATATTGGTTTGAAACAATAAATACAATGAAGCAAACCATAATAGAATCTTATCTTAATCTATAATTATATAAAATTTTTTTTTAGTGATAATGATGTTAAGGAATACTTTTAGGAATGTTTGGTATAGCGGGTTATATGGCAGGACATAAAGTAGCTTATACTAATGAAGAAAAGAATGTAAAGTTAACAAAAGAAGCACCTTTTCCATGGCATGATAAATCTTCTTCTGACGATGGAGATGACGATAAAAATTATAAGTATAGATTTCATAAACTCGATTCTGGTCGACAAATACTTCAAGCACCAAATGCAATTAATACAACTAAAGTTCGAGTGAGCATGCCAAAAGAAATGGCGGAAAAAATTTCACCAAAGTTCTTTGAAGAAAATTAAGAAAAGATATAATCTTGATTATAAATTGTTGATGATAATTCGTTATGATTCAATTGTAAATGTATTTTTATAATCAACAATTCTTTAATTAAATTGTACAACAATTTAACAATTTACAAATAAATAAATATGTAAATTTATTATGAGAAAAATATTATCTAATAATTCATTTACTTCAAGCCGCATAACATCATGTGTAATATTTGAGAAAATGGGAGTAAAAAATAAATATTAATGTTTTTTCGCTTAAAGGCTCCGGACTGGATTTTAGTTTTTATTCAGTCTTCATAATATTAACTATGGGGCGTACTGTAGAAACAAATTGTTTCACATCATAAAATTGACTTTACAAAATATCGTCAATAAACCAAAATCGAAGGAAACAAAACCAATAACAATGCTTTGCTTACTTAAGAAAAATTTCCTTGGTTGAACAGTATCAGCATTAATTCAATCTCGACAAGAAAGTAAAAGGTCCGATAATTTTCCATTTCGTAGGTAGAAGTAGTAGCAATAAGAATAAACTTTGATAAACCAATCTCCTTATTAAATAATTTTAGTATTTTGTTGCCTCCAAGATTGGTTTTTGCAAATCCTTTAAGGAAATTCTTTATTGAAGACTTTGTGATTGCGTTTATATTTACTCATTTACCTATTTCTTTATTTCGCTCTATTTCTCGATTGAATTTTTTGAATAAACATATGAGAGATCTTTGACTTTATCCTTGCTTTACTACATTGCTACAGTCAACCCCCTCTAAGTGAACGCTTTCATTCATTCCCCAAGCTCGGGAATTAGAGATAAGTGCACACCCCCTTCCCCCTGCACCGCACGGCTTTTTCCATTCCCATCTATATATAAAACTCCCTCTCTAAAGTGCACTCCCGTGACTTTCACGTGATTGTCGTCCAATAAAAATTGAGCGACGTTATTAAATTAAAATTAAAGAATTGATTTTTTGTAAGAGATGATAAAGAATTAAATTTTATACTTAGTAAATGATAATAAAGAATATAAAGAATTAAATTTATTATTAGTAAAAGGTAAAGAATTAAATTTATTGGTATGACAGAATTATTTTGTAAGAGGTGGATAAAGAATTGTTCATTTTTTATTAAGTGACAGGGAAATAAAGAATTCTTTCTTTTTAATAGATACAAAGGTCATTAAAACAAAAGTACAAGAATGCAGACAAAGAAGCTTATTTAGTTGAAATTATTATAAATAAGTCATGAATCAAGAATCTTATTTAATAACTAAACTCTTGTAACCAACTTTAAAAATAAAACTTCTATTATAAATTAACCTTATCATTAATAAATTAAAAATAATATATACTCTTGCATACCCAACCATCTAATTTTTACACTCACACTCATCTCATTAAATATTTTATTCTTTTATTGCTTCTAAATAAAATGTCTCCAAAAAGAGTAACTTTATCTAATTCTCAAAAATATGAATTTTGTTTATTCTAGTCAACAAATAAAACTGGCTAATTCTCTTGATAGATATATTAGTTTGAAAACAATAAATACAATGAGGCAAACTACAATAGAATCTTATCTTAATCAATGATTATATAAATTTTTTTTTTAGTGATAATAATGTAATAATTAATTAATTTTTATTCTTTATTGGAATCACGTGCAACCAATGAAATGCTTTGTTTCTCTAAGTGCACGCTATCACTCATTCCCAAGGGGGTGCACCTAGAGGGAGTTGACTGTATGTTTTTCTTTTTTGATGGCTTCTATTATCTTATTCGTGGTCCTTGACTAAATTTTGATTTGTGGTGTTACTTCCTCGGAAGAGTTCCTTTGTTTAGTGTTCCTAACCGAAAATCAATTTTTTTTACGAATATTTGAAAATCAATTTATTCAAGGATATTTGAATATATATATAATTTATTTCGTAATTATTTCGGATATTCGTAATTATTTGGATACTATTATATTCTGGTTGAATAATCTTTTGACTAGATTGCTTGATGCGTCATATTAAGTTTTTTTTTTTAGAAAAATGGGTATGTTGATCATCCCGAATTCAAGCAGGAAGAAATTTTATCACCTACTGTTCCTTTTTTTATTAAGTAAACATGCATGCTCCAATATTTTTACAATTATAATCCCTCGTGATATAAATATATATTATGCAAAAAACTCGATTTTGGTCAGGAGGCCCTGTGACTGTTTTTTTGTTGGAAAACCCCCCATATGTTCGTTAAACTTTTTTATTGTAAAGAACTTTATTATATTTTATGGAAACCATATTTGTTACACGAAATTTACTTGGTCTCAATTTCTTAAACGTATAACAAAATTTGGAATTTTAAAATGCTAAGGTTCTGTCAATTTTTTAGTTTAAGAAAAAACTAGCCGATAAGTTTTGAAGCTTGTGTCATGAACAATAAAACTTATCGGTTAATTTTTTTGAAATGATATAAAAATTTTTCGTTTTAGTATTTTGAAGCTGAACAATTGTTACAATTAATTGATTATAGATGATCTGCACCGTTATGTATTAGTATTGTTGGTATTTTAATAATACTTCCTGTGACATATCGTTTGACTGTTAAATAGTTTTATACAATATTATACAAATATGCGGATAATATACAGAAACAAAAAATTATTATATATTAACTAAATAAATAAAAAATGTTTTAAAACTAAATCTTATATTGATTCATTAGTTTTATCTGTCACGCACTATCTTTAACATTATCACTATCCCCTTGATTAATTATAGCATTATTACTAGTAATATTGACAGAAGGTTCTTTTGTTTCACCTTCATTTACTATCCCTTCTTGATCCTCATGATTAATTATAGCATTATTACTAGTAGTATTGAAAGAAGGTTTTTTTATTTCACCTTCATTTACTATCCCTTGATCTTCCTGATTAATTATAACATTATTAATAGTAATATTAACAGGATGTTCTTTTATTTCACCTTCATTTACTACTAAACCATCGTATTCTTTGGTAAGTCTTCTATCTGTCACAATTTTTCCCCACTCGTCAAGTGATGATCCTTTATTAACTGATGGATTTTGATTTTCTTCTTTAGGAATAATTTTAACATCATTATTTTTATCAAATGATTCAACTATTGTTGCATTGTTTGAAGTCTCACTAGACGATGATTGAAATGATTGGATATTTTTATTAGGAACATATGCATTTCTAGAATATCGTGTTATATTTTTGAATGATTTGGAACTGACTGATGGCCTTCTACCTTCAATTACTCTCACTATTTCCGCATCAATAGTTATTGCATATGACAATCCTACTAGAAGTAATACCTGCGTATTGTTTATATAAAGGGCCAACTCTTGATCGTTGCTTCTATAGATTCCAGATATTGTCCAACCTACAAACATTGCACTTTGACTAATTGCAAGGAATAATCTTAAAAAGTTCCAGTAGATGATTGCAGTAAATATACTTCTTTTTTTTTTCTTTTTTTTTGGTTCACCCGCCACAAATAATGCAGTTTTATTTGCCTTGGTTAAAATTTGCATAAAACGAAATGTCACATAACATTCAATTAATAAATCAATTGATATGTATCCTAATACTTGGGGCCTAGCTAGATCTAATCCCTGTCTACAAAAATAGGCACTTTCTTCGTCATCATAAACTATTTCTGGTCTTATTTGGAAAAATTGAGCAAACTATTTTTAAAAAACAAATACTAATTAGGTTAGTAGGCTGTGCATATATATAATACCAAGTCTATATATATTTACATTAAAAGCAACTCTTGCAGTAAACAGCACGACGCCAATCCATAAATCTCTTTTTTTATTTTCAACACCCTTTAGTCGCCATAATAAAAATCCTTGCAATGCAGTTCTGTAAATAAAAATTCCTGTAACAACTAAACTTGTTAATGCAATACATTGGCCTTTTGTCACATCATTTGGTACTACTAATTGCCAAACTTGAGATATAGCTTTAATTAATCCCCCGAAATTATATAAAATTTTAAAAACATTCAGCAAATTTGTTCGAGATTTATACAATGTTATCGAAACAAACAAATTATGAAGGTGCGTCTATTCGAATAAACCATTATTAATATAAATCATTCATTAATTAATTTAATTTTTGTAAGTTTTTTTTTATTCACGTTACCATGGTGTAAAGACCATTGAACCATCCAGCTAAAGCTTGCATCAAAAATGGTTCGTACATTATTGCTGTGTTTGAAGTTTTAAATTTTTCAAGAATTATTTTTCCTTAAATATAAATATTAAAATTATATATTTTTTAAACAATACAACTTGAAACCTTAAGATTTATTAGGACATTAGTAATGTATTATGAACGAGAGAATAAGGGAGAACCAAAAAATTTTTTGTGAACAATTTTTATTTAAGTTTCGTGTAATATAGATAATTTATTCTTTGATTGTTTCAAGGATTCATTATAATAAATATACTTGTTAAACCATGGTTCATTTTATATTCGTGCAACATAGTTGCGGGATTAATAATACAAATATTTAAATTGAAAAGATAAGAATAAATACAAAGTTTAAAAACATTATACATCAAGTCCATCATTTAAAGTTTTTGTTGTCCTAGGTGTCCCCACCGAAATTATTATCTGCGGTTTCTTCGTTAATCACTTCTATGTCTATTTTGTTTCATTCATTATCATATAAGTTATCATCATCGGTATCATAATTTTTGTTTCCGCTCTCTTCTTTGGTAGATCGACCATCCATTACTAAATCTAGACACAATGGTAATTTTACCTTCATCTATATTAGTATTAAGGTTGTGTTGGCCTTTAAAAGACCGGTCTTTTAACTGGTTTCTTTGAACCATGGTTCTAAATTTTAGGACCAGTCTTTATATGATCAGCTAATCTTTCTTAATAAGGAAATTTTGAAACAATTTATCTTCTTTTTGTCCATTGGTTTTATTTAAAATTTGAGATTATCTTTTTTTTTTTTAGAGTTTTTATTATTATTATTGTTT